CAAACTCTTATTTAATACGTTCAGTGTGTGACCTGCATGATAGATACCATTTTAAAGCCTCAAAAGATACAACAACTAGCTCAAACACAGTCCCTATGACTCCAAACTGAAGTTACCATTACAAGAACAAGCCTGACAAGAGGCCTCATTTTATATACTTTCGTCAACCAATCCTCTTTTCACAAAGTCATAAGAAAAAGAACAGATGTGTTTGCTCCCTTCTTAAACTGTGTGAATATTGTATCCAAGTTTGGTTCTAAGGGTAGAACCATCATTTATACAGGCTTACAGAAATGACTTATGTCCCGTGCACTGACTCTCTGTCACAGATGGAAACATATGTTTTTAGGAAGAGGAAATTTCCAACCAGTCTGAGGGCCACACAAAAAGCAATACACTGTTGACAGATCCCAGTACATTTCTAGTTTGCTGGAACAGGCTTATTTGCTATGCCATAGTTACAGCTGAGCACAATTTAGGATGCAGGCATAAAGCTAAACTGTTGAAAATGAATGCAAATGCTCTTTCCATTTCATCACACAGATCTTGGGAAGCATCCTAGGATGTTTCCCCACCAGTCCAGCGATGGATGGGCATGTTGCCCATCTCACTATGCTGCTGGACTTCTGGCAGAGGCCCCACCCACAACTGGAGTGGAAGCATTGTATGATGCTTCCCTTCAAACATGGGAGCCTGCCTGTGTTGTGTACCACTCTGTACAAAACATCTGTACCACTCAGGCAACACTCCTCCCATGTGATGAGGAAAGCTTCACCACACTGGAGCATTCAGAATAATCCCTTGCACCTGAAATTTAACCACGCTTGCTGACAAAATGGCATGAGGGGAAGTCATGTGATAAGATCATTTGTCATATCCTCACAACAACACTAGAAGAGGAGATTTGCAGAGGGACAATAGAAAAACCCAAGGCTCACTTGTGCAATGTTAATTCATGGTTTGTCATTGTTTGATCAAGGTATCACCCACAAAAGCAAGAGAGTGGTTCTCTCATAGGGTTGTTTCATTTAAGTTATGTTCTGTTCAGTCTGTTTTCATGAGTAGTAGGAAGTTACATTAAGGCGGCCTTCAATGGGCCTGGTTTGTCTTGAAGTTTATGGTATCTTTTGTACATTTGAAATGATGATGAAATGTGACTCTGCTACCCACAGCAGCCTATGTTGACCTTGCTCTCTTCCCTTCCATTTTGTGTTATACTATAAATGTTACTTATTATCATAGTAATATTTTCCAGTTCTTCATTCTCTGTTAAGTGGTAGATGTGGAACATCAACAGTGTGATTATATCAGGCCATTGGTAAATTTCATTGTAATTTGAAGGTAGAATTCAACACAGCACAGCTTTACTCCATAGAAGTCTTCTACTTGCCATCCATTTCATTACACCTTTTGACCCTATCAAAATGTCAGTGTTGTGGATATCTCCATTAGAAGCCACACTAAGGAGAGTAAAAGGGTGGAATGATTGGTCAAAATATAAAGAATTGCTAAAAAAGGAAGAAGGAGAGATAATATTAAAAACACAACAGGAAATGAATATAATAAATGAAAGAATCTCATGGTATCAATACAGACAAATAAAAGAATGCTTTCAGAAAGACAGAAAATAGGCTTTCAAGAACAAAATACATTCTAGGAGACAATATTGAAATCAGATTGAAAGATAATAATGAAGACTTACAGAAAATTACTGGAATTGAATACAGAAACAGTGGAGGGAAAAAGTATATGAAAAGGTGCAAGGAAAATATTGGAAGAACAATAAAAAAGAAGAATGGGAGAAAATTTGGAAAAAGAAAATTAAATATACATATGTGACCAAACTAAAAGAGAATTGGATAAAAATTTCACACAGATGGTATATGACCGCACAGAAGTTAGGGAAATGTTATAAAAATATAAATACCAAATGTTAGAAATGTGGGTAGGTGGAAGGGTGGTCATGTGGTGGTCATGTGAAAAATCAAAGATATATTGGAAAAGAATACAAGCTATATTACAAGAAATTTAAAATATACGAATCCCTCTAAAACCAGAGATATTCCTGATTGGCACAACAAACCAGAATTTAGACAAAAACACTAACAAACTCCTATTCCTTTTAAGTACAACAGCAAGAATTTGTTATGCAAAAAGGAAGCGATCCCAGAAGAAAATGATTGGATTAGGAAAATTTCAGGTATTAGAAACATTGGACAGATTGACATATTTAATATCGAAAAATAAGGGGACCCCGATAAAGGAAACAGACTGGACAAAAGTGACAGAATATTTGAAACATAAAAACAGAAATATTATGATATAAGAAGAGAGAAAGGAGCGACAGAAGAAAGAAGAAGGAGGAAAAGGAAGAAGCCACATAGAAGATATTCAGGAAGCCAACAAGTTTTTTGTTTCTCTTCTCTTTTTGTTTTCTCTTTCTTTTTTCCTTTTTTCTTTTCCTTTTTCTTTTTCTCTTTCTTCCCCTCTCTCTTTCTCCACATTCTCCCCCTTTTCTTTGCTTTGGCTATCCAAAGACTTTACATATATTATTTTGTTTTTTTATGGAAAATTCCCACTCTTTTGTCCTCCTAGAAGCCACAGCCAGTATGACCAACTGTTAAGAAGTCTGGGAACTGAAGTCCAAAACACCTAGAGACCCAAAAGTTGGAAATCACTATGCCAAAACTTTGCAACCTCTCTGCACTTCTCTCAACAACTACGGCTTTGCTCTGCCTACTGTAATAGTAGGACCAGCCCTCCTTATAAATTATAATCAGATGGATCTGTTCCAGACCTACTATGTATTTGTGGATGGTTTAGCACTTGAAATCCATATTAATATGCAGTTAAATATCATCTAACTCATTTTTTTTGGGGGGGGGGCTTCACCCAAACTAAAAACCTTCCTCTTTAAAGAGCAGTTGTCCAGACTAGCCAGTTTTTATTTTTCAGTCTGACTTACTTTCACCTCTTTTCAACTGTCTAAAATGAGTTACCATGGAGCTTCCTTTCTAATTCCAAGGCTGCAAATTGTAGTAAGGCTACATTCACGTGTGAGATGAGTGAAAAACAGGTGTGAAGCATAAGCGAAATCAGAAATTGGAGCCTGGAGAGAAGGGAGAAGGTGTCAGTGGTTTATTCTGCAAGTAAAAGCCAACTTGCAAGTAGTGACTGCCCCCTGCAGCTACCCTGAAATCTAATTCACATCCTATTTTGCCAGAGGAATCTTTGTTTTGCAGCACAGTTGACAATCGTTCCTTTAATTACTGTTACTGGCATTAACCAGATTGAATTTTTCAAGTATTTTAGTTCTGGTATCTTCCTAAACCAGGAAGGAGAGGCTATATTTATGGCCAGTGATGATTGATGACATGATAGATTACTGTTGTTTTTTGTAAGGCAAGCTGAAATACCGACCCAGCTTCTTGCTGTTAGGGTTTTCTTTGTTTGGATCATGTGATTTTTTTTATTAGGTGTTTTTAATTTTTATACCTCATATTTAAATGTCATATTATTTTATGGTGAATTTGTCGTATTGTATTTTATGCTTAGTCGTATGCTGTTTGATTTCTGATTTGGTTTGTGTATGTAGTAGTAGTAGTAGTAATAATAATAATAATAACAACAACAACAACAACAACAACAACACTTTATTTATATTCCGTCCTTCTTACTCCGAAGGGGACTCAGTGCGGATCACAGCACACATACACGGCAAGCATTCAATGCCACTTTGTATAGACAATACACAGACAGAACAGAAGGAGGTGCCATGGAAGGTTGGGCTCGAGTCCAGGGGGTAATGTTGCTTTATCCTGATTGATGAAGCGCCATCCGGCCTTCCTCCTTCCTTTTGGTCGCCCAGCACTTTCTGATCTTCCTTCTTTATGGCGTCATAAAACATCTCCCCCGCTTTTTAGTGGTACCTAATTTCTCTAATCACAGCTCAAGCTGTTTTCGAAATGCTTAGGTAAACAATGAGCTAGGCTGACAGTCGGCAGCTCATGCCAACCCGGGGCATCGAACTTGCAACCTTTTGGTTGATAGATCTATAATGGCTGGTGATTTACCAGCTGTGCTAAACCTCCGGCTCAAGGTTTAGGCATTGAATTTTGCCATTATTTTTTGTAAACTGCTTTGAGTCCCACCCCACCCCCCGCCCCGGGGTGAGAAAAGTGGTATATAAATACTGTAAATAAATAAATAAATGTTTCTTCACTTCATCCAGAGCCTTCTCTGCCATTAGGCAGTGAGGCAATTACTGTTTATTGGTTAGGGCAATTGCAATGGTTTTTGGCTCATCCTATCTGTCAGAGGAAAAATCTGTGTTTTCCAAGCAGCTTGTTCTGCACATATAAACTAACCTACCGCCTTCAGGTATCATAGAGTACACTTTATCAGTAGTATCAAAATAAGCTGCTGAATTGACAATTCTGTTTGCTCCTGATAGTGGAACTTTCACTGTTTAGCGGAAGATGGCCTTGGAATGGCCTTGAGCTTATCCTTGGGTTTTTGAAGAAACGAACTGGGTTGCTCTGAGTTTTTTGGGCTGTATAGTCATGTTCCAGAAGCGTTCCCTCTGGATGTTTCACCTGCATCAATCGCAGGCATCCTGAGAGTTTGTGAGGTCATTAAAACAATTAATGAACTTTTTTTCAGAAGCTGTTCCAGGTACTGAGCTGTAATCCTAAAACAGGTTCAGCACCTTGGATAGCTCGCATAAAACTAGGAGTAGCTCCCATAGAACCCTGCTTGGATTCTCCATCCTGAAGTAATGAAGCCACCAGATGCTTTTTTTCAGTACTCGAGCAACTATTTCCCAAAACTTGGTTTGTAGATGTATAACATGACAGTCCTGCACTTTGCAATTTCCACAATTCAGAATATAGATGCTAATGTTTGCCTTTTTGTTGTAATTTCATTTCCTTTGCATTTAAAAAAAATGGAATACTTGCCCAAGAAACCAATGTTTTTGATCAATACTATTTATATTGCAGATGGATACACAACAGATGATATTGAGTTCTACTGGAATGGAGGTGAATCTGCTGTGAGTGGAGTTAGTAAGATTGAGCTCCCTCAGTTCTCAATTATGGATTACAGGATGATCTCAAAAAGAGTTGAGTTTGCAACAGGTAAGCATTGACGAATTCCCAGGACATCTTCTGGTGTCAATATTGTATTAAAACTATCATTGCTATTGTTATTATTTATTTATTTATTTATTTATTTATTTATTTATTTACAACATTTATATGCCACCCTTCTTACCCTGAAGGGGACTCAGAGCGGCTTACAAGATATATATATACATACAATATATTATGTTATTAGCATAGTATAATATCAGTTTTAAATATTACTATATTGTACTATACAATTATATTGTAATATTATTAGTAATATTACATCTATATAAATAAAAATGTAATGTTCGTTTGTGGGATTAACAGAACTCAAAAACCACTGGACAAATTGACACCAAATTTGGACACAAGACACCTAACAACTCAATGTATGTCCTTCACTCAAAAAATTGATTTTGTCATTTGGGAGTTGTAGTTGCTGGGATTTATAGTTCACCTACAATCAAAGAGCATTCTGAACCCCCACCAACGATGGAATTTAACCAAACTTGGCACACAGTTCTCCCACGACCAACAGAAAATACTGGAAGGGTTTGGTGGGCAGTGTCCTTTGGTTTTGAAGTTACAGTTCACCTACATCCAAAAATCACTGTGGACTCAAACAATGATGGATCTGGACCAAACTCTACTCCACATGTGAACACTGGTGAAGTTTGGGAAAAATAGAATCTCGACATTTGGGAGTTATAGTTGCTGGGATTTATAGTTCACCTACAAGCACAGAGCATTCTGAACCCCACCAACGATAGAATTGGGCCAATCCTCCCACACAGAACCCCCATGTGGGCCACAGCAACGCGTGGCAGGGGACAGCTAGTGTAATATAAATATATAATTATAATATAATGTTATTATTAGTATTATATTGCATTACATTATAATATTATTAATATTTTATGTATATTATATTATATTATATTATATTATATTATATTATATTATATTATATTATTAGCATAGCACAGGAGACAAAATGGAACTGTCCCCTGGCCCCCTCTCTCTTCACTCTGGCCCAGAGTGGCGGTTGGTGCTGGGGGAAGGGGTCCCCAGCTGATGACATATTATTGTTATTACAGGTGCGTATCCTCGGCTATCACTGAGTTTTCGACTCAAGAGAAATATCGGCTATTTCATTTTGCAAACCTACATGCCTTCTACTCTGATTACAATTCTATCCTGGGTATCTTTCTGGATCAACTATGATGCATCTGCTGCACGAGTTGCACTAGGTAATTTCTTCTCTGGACTATGCTGCTACTTAAATATCACCAGCAGATTTCACCAGCAGTGCACTCCCCAAAATAATCCTTGAAACAGAAATATAATATTACTATGATTCATAACCAGCAAGCCTTGATCTTTCCCATTAGGCAAAGTATGAAAATCCAAGTGGCAGATGCTTGAAGGCCAGTAGCGACAGTTCCCAGTTGTTCCAACTGAGCAAACTAGCCTTTCTCATCTTTAGGGAGACAAAGAATGGATCTACACTGCCATATGCCCCAGGACCAAATCCCAGATTATTTGCTTTTAATTTGATTATATGAATCTACACTGCCATATAATCCAGTTCAAAGCAAATAATATGGATTTTAAATGGCAGTGTAGAAAGGGCCAAAGTTTATTCTGCATATCCTTAATCAGTGTCTTGCCCTCCAGTTAATTTCAGGGGCAAATCCCATTGCTCATACAGAAGTAATGTACCAGCCTATCTAGTGGAATGGAAAGCTGTAGGTATCTTATCTTTTATCTTGGTCCAGTACTTGCTTATTTTATTTATTTATTATTTGAACTTATATGCCACCACTCCCCAGGGGCTCGGAGCAGCTTACAAGAATGGCTAAAATCTAACACAATTTAAAAACAATTTAAAACAATTTAAAACAGCAATATCAAACATTAAAAGCCTGTCGAAACAGGTATGTCTTACATGCCCTGCGGAAAGCTGATAAGTCCTGCAAGGCACGGACTTCAGGTAGCAGAGTGTTCCAGAGCGATGGTGCGACTATTGTAAAGGCTCTGCGTCTCGTTGCTGTTAGACGCAAGGTCTTGACACTGGGAATTTCCAATAGATCTTGGTCCTCAGAACGGAGGAATCTCTGGGGTTGGTAGGGGGTGAGGCGGTCCCTTAGGTACATCGGCCCCAGACCATGCAAGGTGAGTACCATCACTTTGAAAGTGATCCGGTGCTCAATTGGTAACTAATGCAGCTGCAGTAAGATTGGTGTTATGTGGCATCTCATCGGAATTCCCACAAGAAGCCGAGCAGCTGCATTTTGTAACAACTTGAGCTTCCGGATCACTGACAGAGGAAGGCCAATGTAGAGGGCGTTACAGTAGTCCAGTCTTGAGATGACCGTAGCCTGGATCACCGTAGCTAGGTCATCAAGTAAGAAGTATATTATTAGAGATGATCATCTAGTGCAGGATTTGTCTCCAACTGTAATTAAGCAAAGACTTCTGGAAGTTGAGAGACTGAATTTCATAGTGATAGTTATTTTATACTATTCAAACCTTACTTTTTTACTCAGTAATCATGTGTATCTGTTCTATGTGTTAGGGGAAAGAAAGAAAGAAAAATGATTGCCTCCTGCTAACCAAGATAAATAATATTAGCACAAATTCTCTATAACATCCTATTTATACTTTGGAACAAGCTGCATTGAAGGTCATTGAATATTCAAGAAAATAACAAGCAAGCAAGTTTTTCAGGGGAGTCTTCTAAGATCATGGCATATTATTTTTATTATCATAATTTATCTAGAAATCAAACATTTCTCCTACTCAAAAATAGGAATGCAAAATAGACACAGAGGTTTATTTCATTCCATTAAATTTCATTATTAAAGAGCACACACTAATGCGCTAAACATTTATGTCATGACAGATTTCTACGCACTTGGTGCATATGAATGTCCAGCCCTTGTTACTGTAAAGCATGGTTTATTTCACATTAAACCCACAGCTGTAAAATTTTATGCAAAGTGGACTTTGATCCCCATTCCTTCATTTTAGCACTTTTTTGTGTGTGGCTGAATTACATAGCCATTGGAGAACCAATATTCTGCTTCTGGGATCCTCTTGGGGCTGCATGGAGTGTCAAAATGACCAAAATCAAGGATCATGAAAATTGAAAGTGTCCCCAAAGTCTACTTCTTGTTTTAAAGAAATGAGTTTATTTTTGGATATTGAATGGTGGATATTGAATGAAAATACTTTAAAATATTTATCAAACAGTTACATTTATATCCTGTCTTTACTTCACTGAATGCTAAATGTGAGAGAAATAAGGTTGAGCACTGTGAAAGCCACCCACTACATGGCTACCAGCCTCCTCCCAGTAGACTCAAATCAGGGGAAAGCTTTATGAGAACTACCACTCCTCTTGGCGTCCCCCCAGCAACAGCAAGGGTATCCCTCTGGGCAGCTGAACCAGGAAATCCCAACTGGATGGCCCCCCATGAGGTTCTTCCTCCAGGGGCAAACCAAGAATGGACAACTTGGAAGTCCCTGAACAGACTCAGAAGTGGAGTGGGCAGATCAAAAGACAACCTAGCAAAAGGGCACTACCTAAAAGAATCCCACACCTTGTGTGACTGTGGAGCAGAACAGACAACTCTGCACGAGTATACTTGTCTACTATGCCCTGCCTCATGTACAGAGGAAGAATTGTTGGAGGCTACAGACAATGCCATTGCTGTTGCCCATTTTTGGTCAAAAGATATTTAGCTGCCTGTGCTCCTACTATTTTTATCAGTTTTATACTAATTTATGCAATGCTTTTGATGCGAAATAAATAACTCCACTGAAAACAAGGCAGCATACATGTCTCTATCCTTCCCTGATCTATCCACTTAATAGTGATGTGAGATAAAACAAGCTGAAAAAGAATGATTTAGCCAAGGTCACTAGGTTAGTTTAATGGCTTAGTAGAGAGTTGGAGAGATTTGGATCTCTCGAATCCTAGACTTACACTCTATTCTGCACACTCCCTACAGCAGTGGTTCTCTATCTGTGGCCGATATGTTTTGGCCTTCAACTCCCAGAAATCCTAACAGTTGGTAAATTAGCTGGAATTTCTGGGAGTTGTAGGCCAAAACACCTGGGGATCCACAGGTTGAGAACCACTGCTCTACAATATATATTGTGCTAGGTAGTCACGTTGCCTGTTTGGCCTTCTCTGTTTAGAAGATGTCCCATATCTGATTATTATATTTCAGCTAACAGCTTATGTTGTGTTTCACATCACAATTTGCACAAAACTGCTTCCTTTCCTGTTTCAGTAATGTACATAATGGAGAAAACATACAGGCTGAAGATGAGAAGTGTTCATAGCTGTGCTGTGCAAGTCAGTACTCCTATTTTCAATTTAGGAATTGGCAGCCATGCTGCTTAGTTGATGTAGGAGTATGTTTCCAATGTATTTGTGATGTGCAAATGGAATGAGGTCTCAAAATGTGACTATGTGAAGTGTTCTCAGCAATCACTCAGCCTTTCAGAGCAACTGAACAAGTTAGGCCTCATTGGCACTGGTGGCTTGTAATCCAAGCAAAAGTGGATAACCCAGTCCATAATTCTGTGTGATTCACTTTCCATTCCTGCTAAGACTATAAGCTGTCTCTTCTTCAGCTGTCTGAAAATTGTTTATTCTTGTGTAGGCTTTGCCTTCCCTTGAGCCAGTTGATAGCTCCTTCTTGTGTTCAAGTGGTGGCAACATAAGTATTAATGCTCAGATGCTAGTTTGCTATTGTTACATAGGGTTTTGGTAACTGTCTAGCAAAGGCATTTCCCCACACAATTTATTCTGTCTTTCTTTCTAGGAATCACCACTGTGTTGACGATGACTACTATCAGTACTCACCTCAGGGAGACACTGCCAAAGATCCCCTATGTGAAGGCAATCGACATCTACCTAATGGGATGCTTTGTGTTTGTGTTCCTTGCCTTGCTGGAGTATGCTTTCGTAAACTACACATTCTTTGGTAAAGGACCTCAGCATCAGAAGAAAGCTGCTGAAAAGGCCACCACAGAGAAGAAGAAACTGGAAATGAATAAAGTTCAGGTAACCGTCTCTCTCTTTTTTCATAAATACATAAATTTATATTCCAGATGAGACTAAAATAGCTGAGGAATCATCATATCAGAAAATTTGGACAGCTAATGCCTCTACACTACACTAGTGCAGTAGTTTGTTCCACTTCAATTGTTATGGTTCCAACCTTATAGAGTCCCAGGATCTGTAGTTGCTTAGAATTATCTGCTAGAGAGTTGTAGTACTGTCATGCAAGAAGATGTACATATAAAGCCTTCTAGCATAGAATTATAAGTATTTTACCAAACCATAAATTCCAAGATTCCATGGGGCATAGACATGAAAATGGTCAAAGTGCTATAGCTATCTAGGAAAGTTATACTTAGGCTGGATCTACACGGCCAAAAAATCCAGATTAACTGCTTTGAATTGGAGTATATGAGATGGGGCCTTAGAGCCATTTTATCTTTGCCATTTTACAAAATTCCATATGGAATATGATATCCAGCAAAGTCTGGGGTGCCATCAAACAAACAATGTGTATTAAACAAAATGTGTAAGCGGAAATATGAGTTTAAGATGGCATCATAACAGGCTCAACTATGAATTTGGCCTCTGTCATATCTGAGGCTCCGAGACATCAAGACTACCAAAAACAAAGATTGTGGGGTGGGGGAGCAGGTTTCTTATGGGAACCTCCAGGAGAAGAAATTTTCTGCTAAAACAAAAGGCCTTTACAAAAAACAAAATTTCATTTTTTAAAAGGAAATGAATGTAATGAATTCACATCAACACAAGAGTCAAACCCAAGAAGGTGGTGGTAGTAGGATGTGAGAACAACACAATCTTTTGAGTGATAAGATTGTTTTCTGTGCAGAAAACAATTTGTTTTTGCACGAAAATGGGATTTTGTGCAAGACACACCACTTTCAGTACAAAAGGTTGGTTTGTGTGCAATCCTCCCTAATTTTCCCTCATAGTTCTTTCAACAAAGGGCCCAAATAAGAGTTCCTCCCAATTATCTTAAATTTGGAGAAAACAGATGTAAGAACATAATCCATTCTTCTAAGAATATCAGTCATTGGATGTTCTGAGTCATTAGGCATGAGAACTTTTCCATGTGCCTTTGGACTTTAGGTTATTTAACCTGATCTCCACCTGTAAGTTCATACCAACAGTAATTCTGTCTTCATTTTAGGATTGCATTGTTTCCTGCAGTTAAAAGGACCACATTATCCCTTGAGTCAAGCACCATTAAGATTTTTTTACAGGTGGACAAGCAGAGAATTATGGCAAAGTGTAGAAAACAAAAAGATATGTCTGTTTCTCCTTCCATTAGGGAAATGTGTTAATTTGTTCACAATCATAATAAAGTATTTGTTAGGAATTCAGAGAATATAAATGACTGGTGATTTATACTGATCAGGAGGTTGTAAGTCAGTAGAAACTCATTTTAAAATGGAGCAGTGTTGTTCATGATACCTTAAATTAAGGCAGTAATTCATCCACTCTTTGCATCATAATAAGCGGTGAGTGCATAGTACTTTAAACAAAGAGGCTCACATGTATCATTGATTTTAACTATTATTATTCATGAGTTATTTATCCTTACAATGCAGGACAAAAAATAGAACAATATTAATGGTCTTTATACTCCCTTTGTGAGTGACTACATAGTTAAATGTGGAAGTCCTTTAAACTACCCTTTGGTTTGTGTAGTACAGTTACAACACCATTATCTATGGATTCAATATCCATGGTTTCACTTACAAATGCTCTCAAAAATACCTTTGTGCCCCCCCCCCAAAGTTTGTGGGCTTCTCTAACTTCAATGCAATTTTATAGTATACTTCCAACCCAAGTATAGCCAGAATATAGAGATGAATTTAATTTATAGTTTCAGTCAAAATGGTGTCAAACTGCATGAATTGCACAGAGTTGATGCCCTGGCAGATGCCACCTTGATGGCATCTGCTACTTTTTTCTTGGGGAGAAGCAACACTTTCCCTTTCACATCCTCTAGCAAAAGGGAGCAGGTGTCACAGCTGTGTCCTCTTCTGTGGCATGGTGGGAGGGCCAGGCAACTAGGGATGGGCATAGCCACCAGTACTGTATTGATCCTCCATTGTGAAAAGAGGTGGTGCTCTCCTTCATTAGAGGGTGCACATCCAACATAAAAACACTTCTGTTGGTAACACTTTCTTCCCAAAGCCTTGCTCAGAAAGGATGTTCTTAGCCTCCCACTGAAAAAACAGCAAAAAGTAACTGCCCTAGCTTTGCTAGAGGTGTTTCAAAGTGTGAGAGTAGCTACAGATAAGGCCATCTCCTACTGTCCCACCAACCTTACTTGGAAAGGCAATGGGACAGAGAAAAATGTCTCTCCTGAAGATCTCAGAGTATGGACATATGGGAATATAAAGTCCTTCAAACAGCCTGAATCTGGACTGTACATTAGGGAAACAAGAGTTAGTATTAACTAATATAATCTCCAAGCCAATGTTCACTCATGGGATGCCATCAACAGTACTGCATTGAAAATAGAGAGGCTTGCCACCTCATCACATGGACCCATTTGCCCGCCGTATGCTGTCTTTTCAGCACAGAGCCCTTTACACAGCACACTGGCACTTCTGGTTGGGCTCCATGCTGAAAAGGCAGCAACACGAGAACCTTCCCATTTTGCCTTCCCAGCAATGTATTCTCCATGTCCCCTGCCCCACCAGGAGGCCATGGATTTGCCCCAACGCAAGGCAAACCCACGAGCCTTTATAACAAGGTCTTTGGAAGCTTAAGGTTGCCCATCTCTACCATCATTGGCATTGGTTGTTGTACAATTATTTCATTTACAACTTACTAGCTGGCAAGATTGTAGAACACCACTTATGAATTAGAAATGTTCTCTAAAGCATGCTTCTTCTTTAGATTGATGCCTGTGGGAATATTCTTCTTACAACCCTGGAAATGAGAAATGAAGTTAGTGGATCCAATGTGATTGGAAGTCTGAATGATCCAAGAGGAACCATGTATTCCTACGACAGTGCCAGCATCCATTATAGAAGGCCACCTCCTACAAGAGACCTCTACAGCAGAAGCCCTTTGGATAGGCACACAGTCCATCAAAAGGGACGCTTACGAAGAAGAGCATCACAACTCAAAGTCAAAATCCCCGATTTGACTGACGTCAATTCCATAGACAAGTGGTCCAGAATGGTCTTTCCTATCACATTTATTCTTTTCAATGTTGTCTATTGGCTTTATTATGTGCACTGAATTATGCTGTGATTCCTCCACCCAATCAACCCAAACACCTTTTCTCCTTTTTTTCTTTTGCCAACCTTAAGGACTACAGTAGCCACAATGCTACAGTACAATATTCAGCCATGCAGTGGGTTAGGGTGTCCTTTTTACCACATCCAAAAATTACTTCATGTTTACTTCAAAAAGACAATATCTATTCTTTTAGATCTGCTTTCAGAGAGCGACGACATTGAAGACGTAAGTGCCATTCTTCTGTCTCATTTTAAGATTATTTCTGGTGATCTTTCCTTTCGTTTTTCCTAGCATTTAAAATGAACACTGTTTTCTCTTTTTCATGAATTAGATTGATATTTCACTGCATTTTGAAAAGTATGAAGTTTAACAGAATTCAGGTGACAGCTGTGATCCTATGGACACTTACCCAAGAGTGAGCTCTTAACTCACTTCTGAGTAAATGTACATAGGATTGGGCTGGAATTCTTTTACTATAAATGACCTCCCAGAACAGGTGTTGATTCTATAATGAAGGCATATATGGAAACCTCTGATAGAGCAAAGTTAGGACGATTGGGTTTAAACAATTCACTTGTCAAATCATAGGTTTAAGTACATATTTAGAAATCAAAATGGTACCGTTGGTGAAACCTGTAGTCGATATTTTAAAATCTGCTGATGATTTTACGTACATGTCTTTGAAAGAAAAAGAAATTATCAGAAGAATGTACAAAGAAGTTTAACCTCTCCTCAGTGGTGACATACACATCTCTAGAAACAAATCAGGCTTTCGGTTTCTTCAAATATGCTCTGTTACTTTTAAGGAAATAAAGCCCCATGTAGTTTGATAGCCATGATTTCTGTAAGCAGGCGAACTCTAGATCAAACAACTTATCCTATATACTCAAGTATAAGTCTAGAAAGTTTAGTCAAAAGGTCAACCTCAAAAAATTGAGTTGATTTATCCATGGATCAAGGTAAGTACCTAAGTACTTACCAACGTAAGTACTAAGTAGGTACTTAACCCTGATCCAAAAAAGAATAGTCTCCAACTCTGAACAGAGTGGAGAAATGTAAGAGCTTAGTCCGTTCTTAGATGACTAGAAAAAGCACTGACCACATCTACTCTGTTGTGATATTTTTTACGGGGCATATCAAAATCCATAATTTTGTCCCCAAAACCTGCTCTCAATCTATACATGAGGTCGACTTATACGTGAGTATATACGGTATGTACATTTTTAAGAATGAAGCCAATGGCTGATTTTCAGTACAAATGCGGCTGTACCTGAGAGAAAAAGCAGGGATTTGCCAGGAAAAGAGGGGGGCTTTTGAAGATGACCTTCGTTTCATCAAAGCTTAGAATATACCTCAATTAGGTTTATCTTACTTTAACTAGAGCCTAGACAAGACTATTCCAAAGCCTGGAAAAAATTACTGTTAGACTATAACTCATAGAATGCCTCCCCCTCAGCCAAGATGGTGCGCCCATGTTAGATGGAGGTTCCTAGGAGCTGCTGCCAAAAAATATTTTCAAACTCTGGCACTATTGTACAGCTACCTTCTTTAGGAAGACAAAAGGGCTTTTAAATTTGTATCAGGTGGTAAAGCATACTTGACACATGATTGGCCCTGGCATGCTTTTCTTTTTATCTCCAATAATAGCAGCCATAGAATTTATTTATCTATTTATTTACTATATTTTTACCCAACTGTTCTCACCTGAAAGGGGCTCAGAGCTATTTCCAAGTGGGCAATAATGTTTTAGAACAGGAGTCCACAAACTTTTTAAACAGAGGACCAGGTCACAGTCCCTCATACTGTTGGAGGACCGGATTATAATTGGGGAAAAAAATGAATGAATTCCTATGCGCACTGCACATATCTTATCTGTGCAGAAAACACTTAAAAACAATATAATTAAAATGAAGAACAATTTTACCAAATTTAAACTTGTTAGTATTTCAATAGGAAGTGTGGGCCTGCTTTTGGCTGATGAGATAGGATGAGATAGGATTATTGTTGTTGTTGTTGTTGTGTGCTTTCAAGTCATTTCAGACTTAGGTTGACCCTGAGCAAGGGCTGAGTAAATGACCTTGGAGGGCCGTATCCGGGGCCCGGGCCTTAGTTTGAGGACCCCTGTTTTAGAACATGGCAGGATATGATATTAAACAGTTCCAAATTGATCTCAATTGGTTCCTTCTTCCCTTAGCTGCTATTTCCCCTTGGGGTGGAAGAAACACATTTTTATTAATGGGACCTTCCATACTTACAGAAGGGGAGCAAATTCTTTTCGGATCATAATGGGGACCATAGTCAAAGGGCCCTTCTATATTGACCATATATTGTAGTTCCCAACTAACTTGAGATAGCAGTGGCCACAAAACACCAGCTGCCACTACACATTGTGGCACACAAATAAGGGTGTACCACGCATTTTTAAAAAAAGTCTCAGGAAAGTCTGGTTTCAGTCAAAAAAATGTGCTGCAGTAGATGCCAGTGAAGCCAAATCCAGAGTGAAATTGGCTCTGCAAAATGTAGAGTCCATTGTGGATAATCACACCTGCTGAAGCGCAGCAAAGAATCCCAAAATGGGGCATGGCTGGGCGGCTGGGCAACAAAGAGCTAGTTGACCCTCTGGAAGGGATAAATGATTGCCTCCACTCTTGTCACTTTTCCTCTTTTCCACCCTGCATGCTTCTGCTCCTCTCCCTTGGAGATTGGGAGGAGGGCATTCAGAGCAGTTTGAAGCCAGGTTCAGTGAGTAGTGTAATCACCTTCCTGGCCTCAAACCACTTCCAAGCATGGCAATCTGATCACCTGTGCAGCGAAACTGGTTCCAAACTGGATTAAAGTGTCAGTATAGAAGTGCCCACACTTTCCCCTCACTTATGGACTTTTTTTTCACAAGAAGAAAAAGAAAGGAAACATGGAAGAGTAAATCATGTGACATCGTATCTACTTTGCCCCAAGTATGCCCATACACAGAGATTAAACCTGAGAGGCATGGAATACCTCTGGTATTATAATTTCTGTAACAGCAGGTCGTAGAGCAGTCCAGGTTATATAAGAGAATACCTGTAGAGAATACACTAGTATTGATTTCCTTCCCCACAGTTTTGGATCTACACTGCAACCTCTTCATTTGCAGACTCTATATCCACAGTTTCACTTACTCATGAACTAAAATATTTTCCCCAGAAGTGTTTGTGGGTCTCTCTTAGTCCTCCAGTGCTAGGTCCTTCTGTGGTTTCTTTCTAGCCTAAGTATAATAAAAATATAGAGTTTGCTACTATCCATGGTTTCAGGTATTCACAGTCTTGAGGCCCTTCCAGACAGGCTCTATATCCCAGGATTTGCACCCAAGGTTTTCTGCTTTAAACTGGATTATATGAGTCCGTACTGCCAGATAATCTGGGATAAACAGAAAGCCTGGGATCAGATCCTGGGATATACGCCCTGTCTGGAAGGGCCCTTGGAATTTATCTTCCATGAATATTGGTGGCCGTACTGTACTTCCACTGCAATTACATAGAGCAGAAATTTTAGCATTCCCAGAATTTGAAATGACGGGGCATCTTTTTACCCTCTCTTTGATTAGGAGACGGATATGTGTCCAGAGATCAAAAGGTGTGAACCACATGGGTAGTAAATTGCATTTTCATTAATTATTATTTTAAAACTGCAACTATAGGAACAATAATAATAATCTCTGGTGGTGTGTCAATTAGAGAGGTATTATTTAATCTATGATTATGGCATTTGAAGCAAAATGCTTGACCAAAAACATAAAATTATACCAACATGGCATCCTCCACAGTAAGTCTTACATAAACATTTATTGCTGTGTATGATGTATATAAGTATTTTTTAAAACAAGGGATATAGAGAGATGGTTTGCCAGTTCCTTCTGAATTTTAGTCCTTAGCACTGGTATTCATTGGCAGTCTCTATCCAAGTACTAATCAGAGCTGATCCTGCTTAACCTCCAAGTCCAGATAGGATCTTTAAAGTATTCAGGTTCTGCTGCTTCTACTTCCATCAAACTGCTAAGTTATGGGGTTTTTTTTTCTCAGAAAAGTGATCTAAAGACACCTGATGTGATCCTTTTCCAGATAGTAAAAAGGTACAATTCAGATCAGCATTTTTGTGGAAGACATTTTTATCCTGTGCTGAGCTACTGGAAAAGAACATAATGGAAATAATAAACATTTTGCAAAGGCAAAGTTTATATAATAAACGGGCAAAAATATCCCCCATTTTCATAATATATCCTAAGGTCAGCTAGTTATAAACTCTTTCCAATAACCAATAAAAACAGGATATTTTTACACATTGGCCAAAGTAACCATCATCTGCACTAGTAGAAGGTGATAGCAACTTTATATATTTGCACCACAACCATGTATATATACAGACATCAAATCATAATAGAATGTTCACAGCTTTTTTGGGTGGAGCTGAACATAAATATATGTGCACATGGTACAAGCATATGTGATGAGTCAGACCTAACTAATGTGTAATCAGATATGATGGCTCATCAGATATGGAAAACTATCTGTTCACTGAATGCAAGACCCAGTCCACACTTTTAACATGTGATTAGACCACATCAGTTTTATGTTGTCTCAAGAGTATTTTCTATTATAGTGAAAGTTAGCATTTATCAGATTCAATCACTGAAAACTAGGAGTATGAAACCAATATGGTAAGCTTCCTTAGTATAGGTTTTTCGGGCTATATGGCCATGTTCTAGAAGCGTTCTCTCCTCTGAGGATGCTTGCCATAGATGCAGGCGAAACATCAGGAGAGAATGCTTCTAGAACATGGCCATATAGCCCGAAAAAACTACAACAACCCTGTGATTCCAGTCATGAAAGCCTTCAACAATACATTCCTTAGTATAATCTTAATTTTTTTCATAGTTTACAAGAGTACAGCATCTAAATAACAGGCAGGATTAAAACGAAATGCACACACACATTTCTAAGTCTTAATTTAATACATTGGTAATATTAAAATCCGTTATGAATAAAAATAATCCCTTTAAAAATGCTGATTATTTTGATGACACTTAAAAAGCTTGACTCGCTAGATGTCAAGAAATGAAATTATGACAGAAATGAAATTAGAAAGAAGTGTTAGTCTTTCCAAGAAAAAGAGTACAAATGTTAAAATACAATAAAAGGATAAGTAATTAATTGTAGAATAAGCAGGAGAATAATACATCAGACTTTGCATCCCTCTCAAATGTTAATTATTTTTTCCAAGTCACATAATTCAAGCTGGGTGGCATGATGTCCAATTTTAAAAATATTCATTTGCAGTAACCACTATTGATTTATGTGATGAGGAGGAAATCTTTGTACATGCAACATTGTACAGCATTAACTACTATTAAGTTTAATTAAAATAGCAGAAATTGTAGTGTTACCTGAGTTTATGAACACTTACACAGGAGTAACTAAGGCACACTGAACATGTGTTGTATCACAAGTTGTACTGAAGAGTAATTCTATTCACAAGGTCCATTAGAAAGGAAATAAGACTTCTGTTGCCAACTAAATACAATTAAGAAGGCCATATCTCTCTGAAACAAAATATAAAATTCAGAACTATATATATATATGCCCCATGTGTCAAGATACCCAAATTATATCGCAAGCACATGAATTTTGCTAGAAACAATGAAACTTGTACCATCATTATAGTACCTCCATGTACTATAATATTTTTCATGGGTGACTCCTGCCCAATTATGTTTACTGCCATTCAGTTATGTCTTGGAAGTGGCTTCTTGGCTATGTTCCATGTGTCTGGCAACACATATAAGTCCAGTCACACTGACACTATGTTGGTAAAATTTACATGCCAGGGTTCTACAGCTCAGAAGTATGTCCTGGATGGCAGGTTGAGACTAATACTATAAAGAAATGCAGGCAAAGAATGGCTGGTTGTGGTTACATCAATGGTGTGGTGAATCCACTCTGGGTTTTGTTCCAAAATTTAGAGGTATTTTCCAAGAATCTGATCCTGCTCAGAGATAAGATTCATGAAAGTAAATAAAACCTGAAACACAGAGTGAATTTGACAACCACTGACACTGAAGGCGCCAGCAGCCACCCCAATACCCAGAGTCACATTGAAATGAGGCCAAAAGATTTATTCTAAGTAAAATTATATATAGTACATGGGAACATATACGGTACATTTTGTTCATCTGAAGCGGAATTGCATTAGAACTAATTAGCAGACAACAAAAATCACTAGATTTTTTGCATAATTGAAGCTACACATTCTTGGAAATAAGTCCCAATAGGACTTACTTCAAAACAAAAAATGCATAGGACTGGATTGAAAATGCCTTACAATAACAAGAAATAATATATGAAGTTTCACCCCTCTAATCTCCCAAGATGTTTTGGTAGGAAAACTATGGTTTCCATATATTTAATCTCTTCAATTGATGTTTTTCTAGCAAATCAAAAGCCTCATTTTGACCAATACCTTTATTCAGGCCCAGGTTACTGCGGCAAATTGAAATGAACTAAAAAGAAGATAGTGCATCTATGTCTGTAATAGATTTTATCTTTATGACTTGGATGCTTTTCATGATGCCAAAAATTACACTGGCCAACTCATATTTTGGGGCCTCAAATGTTAGCCCTGTTTCTTGGTATATTTGACCTGCTGGTTCCAAAAATGGCACCAG